GCCTACGACAGTGGGTGCAGTCGCTCTCGAGCCAGAGGGCGAAGATCCCGTGGTCCCAGGGCCATTGGGGGGTGACGACGTTGTTCCCGATTGTGCAGCAGGGGCGGCTGTCGTGCCGGGGTGGACGCCTGGGGGCGCTGTGGTGTGCGCCTCTTCAGACGATGACCCCGTGGTGCCAGAGCCTCTCACTGAAGGTGGCGTCGTCTTCAAAGACCTGGTGGTCCCCGCTGTGCTGGGTGTTGACTCAGGTACTCTAGATTGTGTGGTCGTGCCAGAGTCTACACCTGATGACCCCGTGGTTTCTGCCTCTTCAGACGATGACCCCGTGGTGCCAGAGTCTCTATCAGAAGGCGCCGATGTCATAGAAGATCTAGTGGTCCCTGGTGTACTGGTTGGTGACCCAACTGTTCCAGGACGAGCCTTTGTGCCCAAATCTACACCTGAGGACCCTGTGGTCTCTGCTTCTACAGACGATGACCCCATAGGGCCAGAGACTGTGCCCAAGGGTCTGCTTGTCCCTGAAACAATGCCAGAGCTTTCTGTTCTCCCTGTGTTGACGCCAGATGGCCCTGTGGTGCGTGACCTTGCACCTGAGGGTCCTGTGGACACAGAGTCCACGCTGGTGATTCCACTTGTTGTCGACTCTTTCAATAAACGTCCAGTGGTTCCTGAGTCCCTAGAGGACACAGTGGTGCTGTGTCCATGTGCTTCATGTCCAGTCACGCTGGTCTCTCCAGAGGTAAGTCCAGGGGTTGCTGACACTCTCAACGACACAGTTGTCCTTGGGAATTTGGAGGGCGTCCCAGTTGCCCCGGAAAAGGCAGCAGATGTACCTGTCGTGGCAGGAAATACGGCCTCCGGCTCTCTGCTGTCCAGATCTTCAAACACTGACCCTGCGTTGGTCGGGCCTACGACAGTGGGTGCAGTCGCTCGTGAGCCAGAGGGCGAAGATCCCGTGGTCCCAGGGTCATTGGGGGGTGATGACGTTGCTCGCGATCGTGCAACAGGGGTGGGTGTCATGCTGGGGTGGACGCCTGGGGGTCTTGTGGTGTGTGCCTCTTCAGACGATGACCCCGTGGTGCCAGAGCCTCTCATAGAAGGCGGCGTCGTCTTCAAAGACCTGGTGGTCCCCGCGGTACTAGGTGGTGAACCAGCTGTTCTGGGGCGAGCTGTCGTGCCAGTGTCTACACGTGATGACCCTGTGGTCTCTGCT